CTTGCCGAAGCGAATAGTTCGCCGCGTGCGATACAGCGGCCACACGACCTAAAAAAAAAAACACCCCCCAAAAAAGAAACTGCACAAGGAGAGCAGCGAGACACACAACACGGACGTTGTATGGACCACACAACTTTACAAGCTGGGAGTTACCTCCAAAAATAAACACACTACGTTTCCAGAAAATGCACGATTTTTTTCAACGAGACACACAACACGGACGTTGTACTGTATGGACCATACACATAGCCATGCTGAATGGTCGTTCGTCAAACGGGCTACTACAGGGCAAAAAAAAAAGTCGCCGGGCATCGGTGTCAGGCCGAAGTATATTTTGGAGCATGGGATCCGCTCTCCTTCCTGCTCCGCAAAGTACGCACGCATGTGATGCTGCCCCAAACATTTTTGCACTTACATTTCAGCAGGTGTCATTCAATTCTTATGCAATGCTTGTTTCCTTAAGAGGAACTTCACCTACAAATATTTATTGCTTGTAGCACGCACAACGCAACGTACCAATGCTTTCTTCGCCTTTCACGAAACAAGTATCACACGGTTTTACGAGTGGCGTGAAACAAAAAAAAAAGTTGCCACCGTACCGTCCCCCCCGTCCTTTCAAACCTAGAATGGCAAGTGCTTCGGGCCTTCCAGGAACCACATCGACATGCATAACCAAGTACGAATGCAAGGGACGCCAAAACCCGAAGGTATCGAAAACACGTTGTGCTAAACGAATGTGTCCCAGAAATATTTGGCGATGAAGCAGGTGCGCCACCTGGATCACCCCCACAGCAACGAGCCCCCCCATATCCCCACCCAATTCCCTCTCGCTCTCATCCCTCCCTCATGCTGCGAGATATTCCTCCACCGCTCCGTCAACCTGCGACATGTTACCCGTCGCAAAAATAAGCGAGAAGGGCGATCGGGGGGGGACCGGGTGGGCGGAAATTGCACGGCAATACTGCTACTGTATAACGTTTTTTTTTTTTGCGCAAGCACTCGAGACAACGTAGCAACAACGTTGGTGGATGGCACACAACTATGATGGGGGCGTGGGATAGCTCAGAAAAGGCGGTTCCTTCCTACCGATGCCAGCGGAGAACAGGATTAAGATATCATCGTGCAAGCTCTTTCTGTGGCGAGAAGAAAAATCACAGGGGTTGGCTGCCTGAATCGATTCTGGCGTTCGGAGATCACCTTCACTATTTCGTTCTTGAAGTCCTCCAGAATGCCGTAGTCGGTACCCCGTTTCTCCGCGCTGTATCCTCGTTGTCGAGCTCTGCTTTCGCGCCAGCTGAGTCCTGTGCTCTCAGGAAGGCCTTTCCTCTACCAGCCGTCCACTCGGTCACGCGAGGAAGACACCATTTCTTAATCTGCTCTTCCGGCTGCATTACGTGCGATCGCCCCCTGCAGCGGCTTTTTCGCCTTGAAGGCGTAAAAAAAGTGGCCACGTTGCGGGACGCTCAAGTCAAGTTTCGTAGCATTCGCACCTCGAAAATTGGCGGGTGCGGGGCTAGCAGAGAGCGGTAGGTCTAGGATCAAACCTACCAGTATTTTTCTCGCTTCGTGGCCACGCACATTTGTTGACGACAATAGCCGCAGGGTGGTGGAGGGTATTCTGACGAATACATTGTACTGCGGTACCAAACAATCCGCCTCCTGTCTCACAGGGATCGCACGCTGGCAGAATGGCTGCAGCTGTGGATAACACGCACAACGCATGACTGCGAAAATATAAAAATATGGTGCACAAATTGTGTACATAGTATTCATGTCAGATTACCAAAAAAAACGATTTACCTATGCTGCCGACTTGACTGACAGATTACAGCAGGTTTCGGAGATAAGCAGTAGTTTCGGCGACGCAGAAGTAGTATGTGCCCAGGCAGACTACTGCTGTACACCGACGCAGTGGGTAACAGCAGCGCAGTGGCACCAGCATGCTTCGAAATGTAACGTACAGACAGAGTCAGAGGCCATGATACAAGAAAAGCACACATGTGGGTACAGCAGGTTTTTGAACCAAGAATACCACCAGACACATGCGTCGATATGCAGTGCGAGACGAAGAGTTGGGTTGATATTGCGGGTGCGCGAGTGGTGCGGCGAGACAAGAGAGCCGGGACGAGAGCGACACACACACACACACCGGGCGGCACACCAGGCGGACACACCAGGCGGACACACCAGGCTGACATACATAATCAGATGACGAGAGAGACAGAAAACTACTTCAGAAGTAGCTTCTCACACACCTGCTGCTGCAACCTCGAGGCCCGAGACATGATGGCTTCTCCTTTCAACAACCTGGCTGACGATATCCAGCAAGGAGGACATGCTCTCAGCATCTTGCTGCTTCGCCCTTGCTCGCCTTGGCCTGAGGTGTTGTCTGGCGGCCTGCCGAGCACGGAAAACCGAAAGCGGCTGGACCTACAGCAGCGCCGTTAATCGCCCTGTTCGCTGCATCCAGCCGGGATTTGCCCTTGGTGACCACTAACTCGATCTATGTTGGGCCCTCCCGTGGTGTCGCGCGTGTGGGGACGTTGTCTGTGGAGAGCGTGGTGGGATTATAGGCGCATGCCCACTCGCCATCACACGCGGCGAGATTTATTTGGAAAGTTGCCGCGCAGCGCGTTTGAAATGAATCTTGCTGGCTTCCAAATATTTGGAATCGTAATTTGGAAATTTGGAACAGAGATTTGGAAACGATTAAAACGGCCCTTACACGGTAGATAACGGCACGATGGTGTTTCTACATTTTGCACGGTACAGCAGTAGCTGTATGCAAAGTGTTCTGGAAGCATATCGTCCGCAGCTTTGTTGGTGGCGTGATGGTGCTTTGCTTCAAATCATGCTAAAGAGCCAATGAAAATCAATATTATCTATTTGCTTTGCTGGTATGTATGTATGTAATATAGATGTTCCTGGACAGCGGAGTCCGGGGGCAACAAGTCGAGCCTGACAAGGACATCTTCACGTCCTCTGGGGAGCTGATGAAAGGGCGATCACACCACCGAGAGGAGGGCGTCGAAGTGACTGAAAGGATGCCTAGTGTCTTTCGAGGAGGACAAATAGACAGCGTGGAACAAAAGCTTCTTGTTGGTGCGACAGACAACCTGGTTGCCGAGAGTGAGAAGCCTTTGTCGACCCCTTTGCCGACGAAAAACGACACCGCGGCTCTTTGGATCACGCGGCCGTTGAACGACACAATTTTGCCCTTGGGGGACATTTTCCTGACTTTCGAAACGCACGGATTTACGCCAGCCGTGGAGACTCCAATCGAGGCAAGTATGAGTCGAGGAGCTACATTTCGCTTCTCGAGCGTCCCGATAGAACCGAACATCACCTGGGCCGTGCATGTGTTGTTGTAACCTGCACACATACCATTGTATTTGCTTGAATACGTATGAGAAGATATTTAGCGGGTGCAATCCTCGGCCTTCTGCGGTGCAACTGGAGAACCCGGAAGCGCACTACGTAATTAGACGCGTTGATAAATTAAATATGCGCTAGACGTTCCTGCATTATTTACTGTGCGGTCTGATGTTCATTATCCACCCCAAACTCATAGTCCCGATTTCTCTAGACCTGCAGGTGCTCATGCCTCAAAACGGAGACACACCGTTCCTCCTGGAGAAAGGCAACTCTATGATCCTGTCTTCGGATATGCCGTGCACTCAACAAGTCACGTTGTACGCAACCGTTAGGGGGGAACGCGTATCGGCGTCAGTTCTGTTTTCCACGGTTCTGGGCAGAGAAGCGATACTGTCGGCCAGGACACCGTTGCCGTCTGGTGCTGCGTGGGGTCGTCCGCGTTTGATGGTATGCCCTCCCCTAGTACGCGAACACGAGGAGGGCTATAATTCTGCCAGCTTACCCAAGGGCGACACGAGTACCTGGCAGACGCATGAGGGTGGGACGGGCGTGATGGTTGGAAAAGGAGGGGTCTATTGTAGTAGTGGAAGTGCAGAATCACAGGGATGCGATTCCGGCGAGGAGACGACCGAGGGGCTTCCGCGTCCGATATCCCTCGTGTTTGTGGGGTCCTTGAGTCTAGACGGTCAAAAACACGTCTGGCTGCAGCAGCTGGAACAGTTTTCTCGGGTGCGATTTGCTCCAAAATTTTTGACGTTCGAAGAACAAGAGGGGAGAAACGGCAGCACCGCAGGCGCTTGGAAGAGCAACGCTGCCGAGAGTTTCAAGCAAAGACTGAGTCGTGCCGGCGTCCCGCTGGTCACGGTACGGTTGCCGCAAGTTAACTCGAGTTGGATACACGATAGTATTGGCGGGCAAGTAGCGCCTACCCACACTCTCAAAGAGATGGCCTTCAAGGCTGTGCTCGAGAGCATCCATCGTGCGGGGGGCAATCCGCATCTGATGAGCCCTCCGTGGACCGGAGAAATTTTCCAACACATCGCGGATGCGGTCGAGAGCGCCTCTCCAGACGTGCTGGTCATCGCCAATGGGAAAACGTTGGGGGACGATCTCCTTACGAAAGCCGCTCGATGGGCAATGCGCGACAACAGCGGCTTCAAGATTGTGATGGACTTCCCAAACATTGGACCCGCACTGGGTGTAGATGTTGATGTGATAGCCACACCGTCGCACTACGTGGCCCGGCATCGGGACACCAAAGCTCTGGCCGCCGCGGCCGGGGCAGAGGTGGTGGTCATTCCTCCCGGGGTTCCGGTAGCGCCTACCCTATCACAGGCGAAGAACCTCCTTGCTGACGAATTGCTGTCTCTCGACAGAACGTCGGGAGAGCTGCGCCGTGAACGTGTCTGCGACAGCGGTATGCTGAACAAACTCGGGTGTTGTGATCCAGCCTGCCACGTGAGGAAATATGAGACTGTTCGAGACAAACTCGTTCAGGCCGCTGCAAGCGCGGTGTTGGCTATGCTTCGGCCGACACATCAACAAGAGTATCAAGATGTTTCATGACCGGGGGGGGCTTGCTCACACGTACAGGGCAATAATTCGCTTGACTGTGGCACAGCAGTGATGGCTGCTGCGCGCTTTGCTTGCACCATACGAGAGAAGCATCTAGAAATATATGGTGTTGATGATCGCAAACAAACGGGGCGGCATCATGCGTACTTCGGCGATATGTCGCCCTCCGGGCGCGCTTGACATATTTTCTCTTCTCGAAAGCTTGAGACCACAAGTCCGGAAAAATAGGGGTAGAACAAACAAGGCGATTGCCAAGTGCAGTGGTTGGGGTTTCGGCCACTCCCGCAAAGTATCATGCATGGGCTGCTAGAATTGTACTTCGGGATCGTTTGGAACACGTAGATCGCCATTCTCCGTCAATGTTTCCTCCTTAATCCCAGGTCGTCAATGCGCCACCATCACCGTTGCGCCCGCCGCCCTCTCCCCCCTGCAACAGGTGGTCGGCTTTGCAGGCCGTTTAGCCCCCGAGAAGGGCCCTGGTCTGTTCATGGTCGTTGCTGAGGCCGTCGCAAAGCTGATCCCTTCTGCTGTTTTCGTCGTCGTGGGAGACGGCCCCCTCAGAACCTCGTTGGAAGCAGCGGCTGAGAGAATGGGGATGGCGAGGTGATTGAAACACACGCATGTAGAGATACCAGTCTAAAAGGGTACAATCTCCCAAACGTCTGCTCGGGGACGATTTCCTCTTTTCACACTCACAGGGTATTCTGTATGACTCACAAGGAAAGAAAAAAGTCGCCGTGAGTGGGGGGGGCGAATAGCAAGTAAACTGGGACCGGTGATTTCATCGTGAATCTTTGTTCTTGAGCAAGACTTGAAGTTTTGTCTGTGGATTGGATCGACCCTCTGGTCCAACGGGTCGTTCAGCAGTGCGCAGTGGACAGCAGCGGGAGGGATGTAGGGTGCCGTCTGTTTGGCTTGTCAATCACAAGCGGGAGTGCTTACGAGATCGCTCAACCCTCCCTACCAAACTCAATTTTAAACTCTCCCAACACACCACCGACCGTACACATAATTCACTTCCACTTGGCCCCGTGCTCTTGCCCCCCCCCCCCCCCCACCCC